GCCCCTCATAATGGGCACAGCAGGTGTACAGACCCGGGAACTCAGCACAGGGATGGTGGGAGCCCCTCATAATGGGCACAGCAGGTGTACAGACCCGGGAACTCAGCACAGGGACGGTGGGGGCCCCTCATAATGGGCACAGCAGGTGTACAGACCCGGGAACTCAGCACAGGGATGGTGGGAGCCCCTCATAATGGGCACAGCAGGTGTACAGACCCGGGAACTCAGCACAGGGATGGTGGGAGCCCCTCATAATGGGCATGGCAGGTGTACAGACCCGGGAACTCAGCACAGGGATGGTGGTAGCCCCTCATAATGGGCTCCTCGGTAATCCTCAGTTATTTACAAAAACAGAGTGAACAGTACAGTACTATTTGCTCAGTATAGAGAACAATCGGTAAATATTTAAAATATATACAGATCCTGAAGCTCCGCCCCTACCCAACAAAGCTTTCTGCCCTGCTTGGCCTCCTGACAGCTTCTCTCTTCCCCTCTGGGTGCCAGCAGCTGGATTGCCTCCCTGTTCCCTCTGAACCCTGCTGCCTCTGCCGACACAGACAGGGGAGAGCAGCAGGGATCGCAGGGGACACAGACCGAAGCTTTCAGCCAGCGTGCAGCGGGGAGGAGAGAACCTGGGAATGCACCGAATTTTTGGCTATTTTTGTACTATCAGCATTTTGCCCATAGTGCCATAAGTACATTGCTGGTTCTGTGCCTTCACATGCACCACCGCACGAGTCACCCACTGCTATGGAAAACAAACACACAGACAAAAATACAGCGTGACCTCTGAAAAAATGACGCAGCCATCCACATAAATTACATTTTTAATCATTTTTTTTTAATATGCAACATAAAAAAACACAGTGGGGAATGCAGACAGTTCTTATTTCATGGAGATTCGTACAGCAGAGAAACGTCTGTAGAATATGGGGAAATTAACACAACCCTCTTAAGAAGAGATGCATCATGGGGCTTCACCTTCAGCCCCATGTGACCTCCTCCTTCTGGAGGCTGTTTCTTTTTCTCCTTTACAAGCATCCTTGCTCTCGAGAATGAGTTCTAGGGCACGCTGGTATGATTTCTGATATCATAGGAAGAAGGACTTCCTGATTTGTTACTGTTATCTACAGCCTTGGTCAAGGAACCTGGCCAACTCAGCCCTTCTCCACCCACAGCCGGACAAGCCAGTCGAGCACCTTGCCTGGTTACAAAGATCAGATCAAGGCTGCAGGAAAACCAACACATCCATGCTTTAGATCAAAGCTGCAAGCAAAAGTGACACACCGGTGCATCCTAGCAGCTGTCCAAATGCTCAGGAACAAGCTCGGAAACAGGGGCAGGCTCATCTTCTGTGTGAGATTTTTGGTGGGTGGTGAGAATGAACTTGCTGATGAAGCTCTTGCCGCAGTCAGAACATGTAAAGGGCCGCTCACCAGTGTGGGTCTTCTGATGCCGCGAGAGGTCAGAGCTGGTGATGAATCCCTTGCTGCAAAAGCTGCAGGTAAAAGGCTTTTCCCCCGTGTGAATTTTCTCGTGCGTGGTGAGGTTGGACCGGCTGGCGAAGCACTTGCCGCATTCAAGGCACTTGAAGGGTTTTTCGCCTGTGTGAATGCGCTGGTGCTTAACCAGGTTGGACTTCATACCAAAGGTCCTCCCACAGTGGGCGCACTCAAACGGTTTCTCCCCGGTGTGAACTCGCTGATGCTTGACCAAGTTGGACTTCATGCTGAAGCTCTTGCTACACTCTTGGCAGGAAAACGGCTTCTCCCCCTTGTGGACCTTAAGGTGCTTCACCAGGTTGGCCTTCAGGGCAAAGCACTTTCCGCACTCGGAGCAGGAGAAGGGCCGGTCCCCGGTGTGAATGCTCTGGTGTGTCTCCAGGATGGACTTGTTGGAGAAAGTCATTCCACACTCACCGCATGGGAAGGACTGACCGCCATTGTGAACGCTCTGGTGGGCCATGTACACCATCTTGCTGGAGAACGTCTTGCCGCACTTGGCGCAGAGGAAGGGCTTGAGCGGAGTGGCTTTGTCACAGTCGCAGCACAGGGGTGAGCTCAAGCCTGCATCCGCCTGTTGGAGGTTGGTGTCGTAGACAACGCACTTGCCGCACTCGTAGCAAATGTAGATGTTCCCCTCCAAGGAAACCAACTGGTTGGACGGCCAATCGGGCGGAATCCGAGAGTGGTGAGAGCCTACGTTTTCGGTTGGAGGAAATTCATTCTTTCCTTCATGATCTGGAGAGGAACACAAGGTCAACGTCACAATGCACTCGTCACCAGTAGCCCAGTGTCTTTCCTATAACGCTGTGATGTTAAAGAGAACCAGTCACCGCTGGGCTCAAGTTTGCCCAAATAACAGCATGGATGGAGGAACCTCAATTGTATTGAGGAGGCCACAGCTGCTGGTGCTGCCATACAGTAACTGCATCTGACCGGTCGATCATTTTAAATCAAATTTTGTCTAGCCGAGCAGTGTTTGCAGGGCCACCGATGGCTCCAATTTTGGCTGATCCGCATTATTCAACTGATATTTGATCCATCTATGCCCAGCCTTAGAACTATAGGGCTGCATGCAGCCCCCAGGGGCATCTTTAGTATATTTATTGGGCCCTGGGCAAACATTTTCTTGGGCCCCCCCCGCCACACCCCCACCATGCAATTGTCCCAGTGGATGAATTTATATATTTATTTCTACATTAATTAATTTATTTATTTACTATTATTTTTTGCTCTGCCCTGGTGGTGTAGTGGTAGCCCATCAGGCATCATAATATTAAGACTGGAATGGACACACAATGCCCCAGCAGCCCAGCCCAGCTCACCTGCCTCTGCCCTGCTGGTGTAGCGGTAGCTCAGTCCGGATGTCACGTCTCACTGCAGAGCAGATAGGAGGAGACGTCAGAGGGAGACATGACCCCGCTTGAGACATGACCCCTCGTGAGACTTACGGCAAGGGTGGGGCAACCCCATGTGATGGCGATCACATAGTAAACAGAATGGTGCTGTGTGTGTAGGGGCGGACTGACAACACATGGGGCCCATAGACAATATGAGATTATGGGGCCACTTCTGCTCCACCCATATACAAGCCACACCCGTCCACAAGCCCCACCTGCATATACATTCAGGTGGGGTAATTATTTCTCCACACTATTTTCAAAATAGCATGTCTATTCACTAAAAGGTGAATTGCAGGGGAATTGGTAGGGGAATTTCAAAATGCTAAATGGCAGATTTTGTTTCTGATTTGGCTATTTTGACTGAGATTCTTAAATTCTGCCAATGATCCTGTGTGAATTGCAGGAGAAACAGCAGGAGAATTAGTAGGAGACTTGATAGGGGAACTGAATAATCTAGGCCTCGGACCAGAACCAATGCACGGCAGGCCTCAGACCAGAACCAATGCACGGCAGACCTCAAACCACAACTAATGCATGGCAGACATCAGACCAGAACCAATGTACGGCAGACCCCAGACCAGAACCAATGCAAACCAGTGGACAGGTCAGTAGTAAGTATAGTAGATGTAATAGTATTTGATAGTAGAGTTGCAAATATGCAGTAGTAAAGAACACAGAGCTCAGTAGTAAAGAACGCAGAGATCAGTAGTAAAGAACGCAGAGATCAGCAGTAAAGAACGCAGAGATCAGTAGTAAAGAACGCACAGATCAGTAGTAAAGAACGCAGAGATCAGTAGTAAAGAACGCAGAGCTCAGTAGTAAAGAACGCAGAGCTCAGTAGTAAAGAACGCAGAGAGCAGTAGTAAAGAACGCAGAGATCAGTAGTAAAGAACGCAGAGCTCAACAGTAAAGAATGCAGAGCGCAGTAGTAAAGAACGCAGTATAGTTCTATTGCAATACTTCTACACAACACTGGGCACCTGTAACATCATATAAAGACAAAATCAATACTGGCAATAACTTTTTTTTTACAGAAGCTGGTAGAGATGAGCTACAGCCTCCGATATCCCCCTCCCCCCAGGTCTGCATCAGAGCTTTCCCATTGATATACCTTGTCAGTTCCGAGCTGGACCGGAGCCGGTCTAAGATAAACACTAGCCAGGAGGGGTGTACCTCCGAAGGACCTCATCTGGCATCCCTTTACAATATGCTGCTTTAAAGAATGAATCTGCATTCACTAGCACTAACTCCCTGGAGGTGTGTTTCCGGGACAAAAGCAGGGACACACACGTGAAATGCAGGAATGGCAACTATGGGGGGGGGGGGGGGAGAGCATGGTCGGTGCAAGGATTTGTTCCTCACAAAGGCAAAGGTGCATTTTGAGGCTACTTATAGCAATAAAGGATCAGCGCTGGACTGAACCCAACTAACTTTAACCTCGAAATGAAAGAAAAGGTCTCCTTACTGACCCGAGCTGACCTCCGTCTGAATTTTCCTAATTTCTCCTTCCCCTGTTTGCGGTTCAATGACGACTTTCATGCCGCCTGGGTTTTCAGCCTACAGGAAGCACAAGAAGCTGCAATTAAGTTTTTGTCCAATGAAGCTCTTGTTTAGAACGGGAAGTTGGAAATATTGAGATAAGCTTCAGGGGCCCATCAACCTTGACTACGTATACCTGAAATTTGTTCAGACTTTGCTGGGGTGTGGAGTCTCTGGAACATAGAGGAAGGGGACATCTCTCTGGGGTACTCCTGTTACTGGGTCCATCTGTGGAAAGAGTGAATATAACGACCATTTCGGTCTACTGACAGAGGAGGGGGAGAAGAAGAGACTGTTGTACTGACTGAACCAGGAGAATCTGGGACTTTTTTCTGGATTTTGAGTTTATTCCTCACCTGTGCAAATCTCTGGAGAATGTTCCTCCTCCTCACTTGGCTCCTCACCCCTCACATATGGACCTTCTTCATCTTCAACTTTAATGCTGATCACGTTGTCCTCCTGAGTAAGAGAACAAAGTTATGAAAGTCCAACGTATGGAAGATCTTACTTCAACCCCGTGAAGAACTTTATAGAAAGACCTGATGTTATTGGCACCAGTTCACATTCTCTAAAGAATACCACCATTGACCGGATTGCTTCTCACCCATGCTCGTTATCCCTACATGGTTTTTAGGAATACTATTAACCCTTACCAATACTGCGTAGAAGCAACCTGCCATTAACAACTACAGTAGGTCTGTGCACATGACCACTTCTTTGTCCCATCTACCCACCTCCATCCACTATCCTAACCCCCCCAACTCCATCCACTATCCTAACCCCCCCACCTCCATCCACTATTCTAACCTCTCTCTTAATGATCCTTACGGCCTCATTCATACGAAAAAATGCCGGCACGTACAGATCCGTGCATGGCTGTATCGGGCAGCTCCTGGGAAGGACAGGTGCTGACCCTGTCCTTCTCTATGGGAGTACGCGGCCATACGCCGCCCTATGCTCACCCCAAGTGCAGGTCCGTAGGGTGCAGGTGGCCCGGCTCGGATGCAGACAGGATTCATCCTGTCAGTGTACAAGTACGGACACCCGCACGGATATGCAGGACGGATGAGCGTAGGGCAGCATACGGCCGCGTAATCCTATAGAGAAGAACAGGGGCTACGTACTAATCTCACGCAGCACCTGACCTTCCCGGGAGCTGCCCGATACGGCCGTCCATGCAGCATTTAGCTGTACGTGCCGGCCTGTTCTTGCGTGAATGAGGCCTAAACCTCAATAACCCATACTTCCTCCACTTTCTCCTTCTACTCCCCCTTTCCATTGTTCCATGTTCTTGTAATGTTAAAAAGGTTAATTTTCTTTTTGTATGGCCTGCTTTCAAGTAAAGCTGAAGTGGAGGAGCCGGTACAACTGTGCAAGACTGAAGGGAAGGCGGAGTGCAGATTTAACATTAAAGCATTTTATTATAGTGTTAGCTTGACGTCCCTCTACAGATCATAAACTGTGTTCCTTAAGAAGACCGCTTGCTCCACCTACATGATCATCCTGTTCCATTGTGTCATCCTCCTCCTCCGCGGAGTCCTGGAAGTGCACAGGACGAAGATATCTCTTTAGTGGATTTCTGTTATCGCATTCATCTAAAGGAAACAGAGAATCGTTTCTATTTATTGAAAAGAAATAGAGCATGAATCAATAAAAGAGAGAAGGCGTCTGTGCTGAAGGCTACAAATCAGTTTTCAGCAGCTGACTGTCAACTTCTAATCAAAGCATTTTGCGGATGAATGAAGGGATCGCTGCTGGCTGGGACTGCATTGCGTGCAATGGCTAGGTGATGTCACACTGGGCTTCAGAAAGTAAGAGGACGATTTGGGTCAGGACCTACGTGGGCTGCAGCCACCCTGTGCAAGAGTTGTAGCTCTGAGAGAAGGATAACTGGCAAGAGGCTGCAGTCCCGCACAGAGGCATGTTGATATTTGCATAACTCCTCCCAAAAGCTCACCGACTGCTTGCATCACGGTTGAGCGCTCTTCAGCGAAGTACTGAGGCAGGGTGCTGTGATGTTTTTAGGAAGCTATGTACAGCACCCTGCCGGATCCTCCCACAAGTCACAATCTGCCTGCATTGCATAGAGAAGGACATATGGAGATGCTAATAGCTTCATCCCAGTTTGTTAATGTTACATAAGTCACCAATGCAATCGTACTTACACCTGTAAAAAGTAATAAATGATTATGGAATGACTTCATCTTATTACCTTGAGACGGGGCGGACTGCGAATACTCGGCCATGTTTTCATTGCCGCCATCTACGTGTCCTACAAACTGCCGAACCTGAAAATAGACAACCCGACACCTTATAAGAACCTGACACACACAACGATACAGTCACCATCCAGACACATCACTTGTCTGTTCCTGGATCATGTCCCAGAATTCCCGGCACTGCTCACCTCTCCTGTCAGCAGGTGAATGATTTT